AGGATTTTCTTTGTTATTCAGCAATTACCATATCACTTTTTTTCTAAAAATAAATTACCAATTTTGGGCAAATTTTTAATATTTTTTAAATAAAATTATGGCTAATTTTATAAAAACATGTTATTATATTATTAATAATTAATTATGGATTGTTATTAATTATTTTATCTATCTAGAATTAATCAAAAATTAGTTATAAGATAAATAATATTTAATGATTAAACAAATCATAAAATAATAGTGTCAAAAACATTGTTTTTTTTTCTTACCGACATAAACACAGTGGCTTGATGAGTATTTAAATTCCACGCCTCCCCTCTTTTTATGTTTATTAAAGTTGGCACTGTTTGTATTTCATTATGGTTACACATTTCAAAAACACCAAATTGAAATTTCATGTCGTGTTATAATGTGTTACCAACACAGACCAAATCTCAAGGCTCTTCGTCTACTGGAATAGCAGAGACATTATTATATTTAATTTTTTTTACCAACTTCTTATATAACAAAAGAACTGATATTATTTAAACTATTGAAATGTTTGAACGCTTTATTTCAAAGACACACATGTTGTTCATTTTTCTTCTTATTTTTTCGACTCAATATAAGGAGGTAGACAACAAGTATCAATGCAATAATATTAACAATAATAAAGAAGATAAAGATGGCAACAGGCATACCAATAACTACTCCATAATTCATTTTCGAAACACAACTCTCACCATAATCTGAGATTTTGTCACTCCCTTCACATGCAGTGCACTTTGAGTTGTCTGCTGTAGTACAACGTGGTACTGTGTGATAATCGATACGACTTCCTTTCAATAAGATTTTATCAACTCCAGATAATAAACATACTTTATTGTTTATACAACTAACTTTGTATGAGAAACAACATCCATTTTTAAAAGAAGGTGTTGTTACAAAGTAAACACCCTTCAAAATTTATTGGTTGATTGACATAATTTGTTGGACTTACTTGCAATTTGAAGTATCTACCTTTAGATGACAAACACTCATCGATCTTCAAACAAATATTGCACGACTCGTCACATGCATCACAGTCTTTCTCTATTTTGTAATATTCATCTTTACAAATTGCACAACTTCCACCAGCTGGTAATGTTACGTCACACTTTTCTCCAATTCACCAAGTGTCCGGCATTTCACTAACTTTCCTTTGCCAATTTTCATTCATTTTCTTTGCATTGAAAATGAATGCAAAAACGCTTTCCATTGACAACCGAGTTGCATTGTGTATCGGGGTGCACGACATCTGTTCTATATCAATAATCGTTGAACCTCCGCATTTCAAAGACGTATTTTGATTTGTACAAACAACATTTGATACGCCACAACTGTCACACATGTTTTGTGCTGTCAAATATGTTCCTGCTTTACAACCGAAAACCACTACATTTTTTGTTAACCCACACGCACACTATTATACACAAACACTACCATTATTCAGAGTATAATTATTATCACAAGTAAAACACGTCAAAACTTGCTTCTCAAAGTTCTATAGTTACAACGTTCAATTTGTGGCGTACATTTTGGGTTGATTGATATCTGGTCTGAACAATCATATGAAGTTGCATTTCCGTTGCCTATTTCATTATTTATTTGTCTTTCACTTTATTAAACAAAAGATCAACTGTTTAGGTTTTAATTTTCGAACAAATATACATATATTTTAGTATGTTTACATTTTGATGACATGTCGGATATTATTAGTATGGACGCGATCTTGGCAAAAATAAAAGACAACCTGACGTTAAAACAAACAACGATTTACAGTCTAAATTCTTTAGTGTTGCCGATATGATTGAAAAAAACAGTAAAAGAGTCTCGAGTTTCATTTAAGCACAACTTTAAGAATTCAACAAGTTGCAGAACTAGATGTTCTGATGATTTGAAGAGATAATAACTTTAAGAATATTGTTAAGAACGCAACAAATACACATATTTTTCGCATTATTTGGACGTGTTAAATCAGGCAGACAAAAAAGTAGCCGTTTCGATGTTATTCATATTCATATTATTAAGCTAAGACTGGTTTAATTTTATAGTTTTTTACTATTTTATTTAAATTATTATAAAACAATATTTTGAATAATTTTGTTATTATTAATCATTTCCCAAAAACGCATTTTGTATACTTTTAAGTGTTAAAAATCCACATTTTTGGTAATTTAAATTCTTTGAACACTTAATGTATTAATTATAATAAATTTTAATTATTTTAACTATATCAAGTCAGAATTATTTTAAGTAAACTATATAATAACCATTGAATTGCTAAACTTTATTCAATATGTATCATAATAAACGATAAAAATATCATTATAGCTGTTCGGCGACTTTACAGTTTCTTTGAAAATCGCCGACTTTTCAGTGGTCTTAAAAGTCGCTGACCTAAATATTTAGTTAAATAACTATTCAAAATACCATTTATCATGTAAAAGATATTTAAAAAAATAAACCATATAAATTTAATATAATTATTATTAAAAAATAAAATGAAACAATACCTTCCCAATTATATCTTCTCAAATCATTTTTTAAATTATATTTATATGATTATAATATAACAAATTATAACAACTATTGTGTTTTTACACATTTTTGAGACTATAATTAATATGGTATAATTTATTAAAGTTAATAGTTATTTAGTTCTAAAAAAGTATTTTAGAACTAAAGAAGTCCCTTCAAAAGTCGCCGAATTTTGAAGGGACTCAAAAAGGCGTTGACTTCTCAGTCATATCATAAGTCGCCGAACAGCCATTAAAGTAATTTAATATGACCATCACCTGTTAGTCAATAAACACATAATTAAATCGTTAGAATCATACAAATGTTGGTATTCAAATGGTATAACATCATTAATACAATGATGAATTACAAAAATGCTTCTAATATAATTATTTCTTTTTTGTTATTTACTTTGGTACTTAAAAATTTCACTCTCCTTTACTAAGTATATACATGTATTTCAAATTCATCGTTTATAAGCCCATTAAGTATATTATATATACGTATATCACCGTTTTATTGTCCTTAGCTAAACAAAATAAAACCCTATAATTTTCAATTATAGTAGTAATTAAATTGAAAAGAATAAAATAATCAATGTTTGTAATTGAATTGTTCTTAAGGTGGGTTCGGTTTAAATCAATTTTCAATATAAATTTCAATATAATAATAAACTTAATTTCTAAATTATAAATAATACCATTTAAATATCATTAACAATAATTTGAATTGAAACTTAATAACACATATATAATAATAGTAGAGTACCGTGAAAAATCACTGCGGCGTGAAATATTACTGCGAATTGTTATTGAGCAAAAAATAATGTTATTGTTGCTTGTAAAACATAAAAAATAATTTACTTTGTAAAAATTTTATATAATATGGCTATCAATTAAAACAAGGGTTAATTTGTAAAAAGGAACATTCCAAACAACACAAACTAGATATTGGTTTTTATTTATAGATTATAACAATTTATAACGTAAAATACTAAACAATACATCAAAATATAATAGCCAAAACAAATAAGTTATAACATCGAATTTTTGAATAAATAGTCCACCTTTTGGGCACCATAATATGAAATTTGATTTCTGCTCGGCTAGTTGTTAATTTTTTGTGAATATTGAAATTATTAACTCCAATTGAATAAACTTAATTTATCATCATAAACAATATGTTTTATCGTTATAATAATATAAAAAAATAAAAATATTAACTTAAATTATAAAGATGGAATAAACGTTTCAACTTCAAAATTATTATAACAACACAAACTGCAATACAATAAACAAAATATAAAAAACACGTTATAAACATATTATATTAATAAATTTATAAAATATAAATTAATTTGACGATAACAAACGGTTAATGAGTGTGGGTTTTTCAAATGGTCGATTATTTAATCACACCAATTTAAAATCTAAATAATTTGTTGTTATTAAACAATTAAGTTGTTTGGGGTTCTGGTGTATTAACCCTTTTAAAATAATAGTAATTTATAATAAAATTATCCATAATTAATCGACTAGTTTAATTATATGAAAATAATTATTAAAAAATAGTTTCACATTTAAAATAAATAAATTATAATTTATTGTTGTTTTATAAGAAATTTTTGCTATTGATATGTTGATGTTAATTAAAATTACACGTTAATTAACCATTTCACTTGTTTGTTGTTTATTATATTTTAATTAAATTTATATTATAATAATAGTTCATTGTTTGATTTATTTAATGTGAATTGTGATTGTATTTCCACATCATTCAACAATAAAAATAGCCAGTGATCATACAACCAACATGTCAAGTATTTACTAAACGATTTCGATATTACAGATGTTGTTATGAAATACATAATTATATTGTTTATTCGTTTTGTTTTTAAACCATTTTTTGTGTCACGGTGTGACGGGTTAGATTCTTTCTCTAACTTTTTTTCTTAAAAAAATCAACGACTTTCATAAAACATAAACAAGACATTGAGTAATGATTTTTCAAATAACAAATCATTATGAAAGCAACTAATGAATACACTTTATACATCAGAATAAAATTATATTGTTAAGTGATTATTTGGTTATTAAAATTATGAGAACGATTTTTTATTTATAATTTCTAATCTTCATCAACAATACAATATTAAGCAAAACTTTAGTGTTAAAATGTGTTCATATTTTGGCAGAAATATCTATTGTTCAATAAAATTATATTTCATAAATCGATGTAACGATAAAATCAATATAAATTATTGGTACATTTATTCACAATTTAAAAATATCAAAACAAATTTTTACTTGATAAAATAATTTTTGGATATCCGAAACTATAATTTAGAATTTGTCTTTTTGTAACAACAAAAAAATATAAACGTTTTGTTTTTCAATTAGAAAAGGAAAAAACAAAACCCTCATAAAAAGTATATAAAAATCCATTTTTTCCTCTTAGCACAATCAACAGATTGTGTATTTGATTTTTTTCACGTCTTTAAGCGCAACCTTTTCAGACGACGCTGAGTCTTTTTTCTTATGTTTTGTGTTTGATGTTAACGTGTATGGAAGTATTGTCTTGTGTATATCAAACTCCTCCAATTTCTTTGTAGGCGTTTTGTAGAGAACCCACATCTTCTCTTCTGTTGATCCTTTTGTGAAGGGTCCGGAGTGACATTGAAGTTTTGAAGGAAGTTTTTGTTTGGTAGAGGAAGTCCCATCTGTGATCGTGACATCGTCTTTTTGTGATTCTTTTCAATTAATTTGTCGGTATCGGAAGACTTAGAGTTGTGTGACAGTTTCCCTGTTGACAGTTCTGTTGGTTGATTGCTTGGGTTACTCACTTGACTCTCCTCTACACTCATTTGCTTTATATGTGACACTTTATCACTGGAATTGAGTTGTTCAGTTTGTACTTTCATTAAAGACGATGAAGAAGTTGTTGAATTTCCATTTGAATTTCTCTTTGAATTTTCTGTGTCATCGATAGTCGAAGGATTTGGGTGAGAAGAAGCCAACGGAGGTGTCTTTGAACGCGATTTTTGAATGTCTTCTTCTTTTTTTTAATGATGTCGAACACTTGTGTGACTTCGAAGTCTGTTCGATTTTCAAACTTTTCCGTTTCTTCTCTTTGGAGCTCTTCTGTTTCTTTTCCGTTTGAATGCCAGCCCGCTTTTCAATGCTTTTGACTTTTTCTTTTTCCTTCAAATCGTCCTTCTCACCTTCTTTTGTGTCATTTGGTTGTTCGTTGTCTTTTGTATCATCGATAATCGTTATGTCATCGGTATAACAAATCTCCTCATCAACTTCCTTCTTTAATACTTCTTTCAATTCGCTCCACTTCCCCTCTTTGTTCCTTTGTATATTCTCCCAAATGCTTTTCGCTTTAACAACCCACTGCTTCTTCTCATCTTCAAGCTCTACACACTTCTTCCACTGCTCCACTATCCCTTTAAATATCACATTCGAGTTTTTAACACTCTTCCCAAGCTCATCCAACATCTTTGATATGATTTCATTTTCACCTTCTACACACCCAAACACTAACTCTCTCCCTTCATTTTGAATGGCCACAGTCATCCGCCGCGTTTTCTCGTTGAGCATTAAACTCTTTCGGACGGTCCGCCGCTTAAGGACGGAACTCTTGTAACTCAATTGCTCTTCGTATGATATCCGAAGCGCAGTCCGCATGTTAACAGAGTGATTGTACACGTTTTCAAGCTCGCCACGAGACACTAAAGTATCGCAAATGATTTTAATGTACTCGCAAATAATCCCCCCTCACGCGTCGGTACCTTTGTTAACATGTCAATTGTTTTCATCTTCTCATTTAACAGAAAAACGATTGTTAAATAGACGCGTTCGTTGTTGTACCACTCCTCCGCGCTCTCAAGTCGTTGTTTGTTACTCCCCGTTTTCTCCGCTATTTTGTCAATTTTTGAAAGGATCGAAACTATCTGTGGAACAAGCACTTCAAAATAGTGGAACACACCGCAGTAACAATCCTTCACTTTCTCTTGTTTGATCGCAGTCAAATTTAAATTAAAATCTCGTAGCTCGCGCAGTTTCGTTGGACCATTCGAGGCGTATGTCGAAGACAAGATTTGATTGTAATTCTTTTTAAAACGTCTCAAGGTCTTTGTGTTCTCTTCTGAGACTTTTTGTTCCTCAGAAGATACCAAAGCGCTTTTATCCATCACTTTCCTGGCAATGGCAGAATAACTTGCTTCAAGTTCAATAACAGCGTTGATGATGTCCGAGTACTCTTGCATTGTGACCGGGAAGATCGGGTTAGTGTCGACGACGTTCATGATTTTCTCATATCGCGAGAGATACCCTTTCATCTTTTTTTCGACGTCCTCTTTCTCTTTGACAATGTAACAGAGAAAATTACATTGTCATGCTGTTTTTACTGGTGATTCTGACGAAAACGCATTGAGTGGATTCTCCATTCTTTTTCTTTCCAAAAAAAAGTTATTTTGCTTTTTGAGTCAATTTGGAGTTGTTGCTTTTAAAAAATTCAAATGGAATGCAATCTATCTATAAAGTATTTATAATGAATAATAAGCATACTAAAAGTTCATTATTAAAATGTAAATTAAAAAATAATAAACTAAAAAAATATTATTACATTTATATACATATAAATGTAGATGTAATAGAGTTTGTACATTGATTATTGTGGATGAAACTATGTGAAAACACAAAACAAATTATAAATATAAAGTGTTTTTATCCGAAAACAGTATTAATATCATTTTCATAGGAAGTGCAAAAGACAAGAAATGATTTATTGTGTAAATAAATATAAGTTTATTGTAAATGTACACACAATATTGCGCTTCAACAAATTGTTTCAGATTGATCAAATTTGCTTTCACATAACTTAAAAAACGATTCATATAACCTTACACATTAAATAATTTTGTTTATAGTTATTTTTTAATTATTTTTTAGTTTTTTATATTCAAATGTTTTTTAATTTACGTGAATAAAAATATGGTTTGTTTATTTAAAAAATATAGTTGCTATAAGCCTCTTTCAAATCGTCTTTGTTCCTAAATAAATAAAATCACTTTTAGCGAATGTCGAGCAAAATAACAGGTTCACTTCCCAAAAACATAGCAATTCTCGCTGATTTTTTCATTGATATAAACAACAAAAAAGTCGATGTTACTTCGCCTTACGATAATCGAGGCGCAAAATTTACCGCAGCAGACTGCTTTTCAAAGAAGAGTGATCCTTATACAAAGGTGACAATCAACAAGGAAATCCACCAAACCAAAATTCAAAAAAAATATTAGACCCCAAATGGCATGAAGAACTCCGGTTCATGATCGATCCACACAATCTACCGTCTATCCTCTTCGAGATCTACGACTGGGATAGATTCAAAACCGACGACTTTCTCGGGCACGCATCGTTGGCACTCAAACAACCAATCAAGGTGATCTGTGGTTAAATTTATCAGTTCAAGGTAAGCTCCACATAAACCTTGACACACTCAAAACACCTATTCAGTGTTTGTACACCCAATTCACGCCAGGATTGGATGGTATAGCACTCAAAGCACTTTCTCTAAAACCAAACCTGACAGAATCGCAAGAATTCAAGCCGTCATCTTTTATGACTAATTTTAACCTCGAAAAGTTAGAAAAGTCCGAGATCTCGCGGCATGTTCAGACACCATTTTTCCCAAGAAACGTAAACGAGACGTGTTCCTATTACGCCAAGTTGTGTGGCTACTTTGTACCATACCGTCCTGGTGCTTTTCCGTCAGTCCCAGAATGAACCTCTGTGTTATTTATTGTATTTTTTATTCACCAAATTGATTTTCATTCAAATCAATCTAATTAATAAATTAGAGTCAGTCAGTAAACAATATTAAAGATAGAGTACTTGATACAACGTTGTTATTTAGAGTCAATCAAACAATGTTGTCTTTTCAAACGATATCTTCTTAGTCTTATATTTTTAAATTTACAAAATATTTTTGCAAAAAAGTTCAATCATAGACAAAATCGTTCTTTGTTTACCATTTATTTATTTTAGAGTAAATAGGAAAAAAATCTATTTTTCTTAAATAATTTTATTAATTTTTTTCAATTGAGAAATAATTTCTTTATGATTAATTTTTTAATCTGACTTGAGACGCCGTGCAACTCCATGTATTCACTTGTGTTGATTCTGACGTCGTTGTTCTCGTCGTAAAACAGCTTATCTGCAAGTTCATTTGCAAGCTTCAACACCACTTGGCCCAAGGAACATGACCCAATTGATTGTTTGTCTGAGCAAAGACAACTTCTGCCTTTCAGAATATTTCCAACAACTCTATTGTATAGCTCGTCCCCAAGTTTCAGGAGTCTTGTCTTCTCGCTCTGTGTCATTCTGCTCACTAAGATGCCTGCCCGTTTGATCTACATTTTCTAATAACTGTGGGTCATTAGTAACAATGTTGATGTCTCTTATGTTTGGTTTTTCAATTCTGCGCTACCTCAAGATCTCTTGTTGTCTTGTTCAGCTCTCTCTGCCATCTTCTCTTGTGTCAATTGCGTGTCTTTACTTTCCAAGTTTTTGATTTCCTCTGGTTGCGAGTTCTTCTGTGTTAAGAGTGTTGCTGACGCCATCAAATTGATTGCATTTTTGCGCGAGTGTAGCATTGATGTATCTCTTTGACAGCGACGCAGCTGCAACAAAAGAATGTCTACGATTGTCAGCCAATAGTGGCTTTCTCCTGTTGCACTGGCATACAAGACAATGTGGATTTCATCTATGAACAGAATAATTTGAATTTTCGACTCTTTCAATTTTTTCAAAACAGCATAAAGTCGTTCCTCAAACAGTCCTTTGTACTGCCATCAGCAATCAGTGCACCCATATCAAGTGCAATGACTCTGCAATGCGAATTCAAAGAAACAATATTTTATTACTCACTACCTTAAACATTCCACAACAGTTGTCTTACCAAAACCAAGTTCAACAATCAATAGCAAAAAGACTATTTTTATTCGTTAATAATACAAATATGTTGTTGTTTATTTGAATTTTTTATTTATTTATTAAATAATATTATTTTAATTAAATATTCTTGATAAAGAATAACAGTTTTAACGATATATTTTTACTTACAAATACAATTATTATCATTTTTGGTGACGTTTTGTAAATGATTTTTAAATCTTTAAATAATGTATTATATTTAATTTATAAATTAATAAATTATTATTAAGGTTAACTCGCCGACATACCTAATCCCCAACAAACCAATACTGTTAAAAAGAGCAGTGTTTTTGTTTTTTTGAAAAAAATTATATTATACAGTGTAGTTCAATTATAGTAAAATGATAATGGAATAACGAGTTCAAATCGTGAACTAAAAAACAAATAAATTGTGAAAAAAATGAAAAAAAATATAAAATTTCATGACAAAAACGTAAATAATGGCAAAATAAGAATACTGGTAAAATGCAATAACATTTTTTAAAACAAATAAATATGTTTTGTATACACTAAACAAAAAAAACTATTGGTTCTGAGTTGAAAACTAAATACAAATTGCAAAAGATACATGAACACGTCAATGATAATTAATGTAAACGTATATTTTTTTACATAATAGTCTTTATAAAAAATAAAAACTTTTCAAAAAATTAATTATATTCACTATATATTTTTTCAGACAGTACGAGGTAGCAAGATTTTTGACAATTTTTGTCTCTCTAAAAAATATATATTATCTCTTGGTATTTACAATAAAATGACTAATTTATTGAAAAGTTTATATCAAAAGAATTTAAAAACGAACAAGCAATCATTAAAAACGGATTATAATGTCAAATCTATTATTAATTTAATAACAATTTCCCTTCATTGCATATAATCCACATATTTTTATATTGTTGTCTAACTTCTTGTCAAATATATGGACTGTTTAACCAATTGTTTGTTGTTGACTCTTGATATTTTGATGTATATAATAGCACATTTTTAATAATATATTGAAAGTGGTGTTTAAAATGAATAAGGTAAACCATAACTATATTTTTAATTTTTCAAACAACAAAAAACCAAACTTCTTTGTCTATCAATGCTATTTTATTGATTTATTTGGCATATATATTTAATTTTTGTTGTGTTTTACGTTATGCGTAATTTAGCTTTTTTTTATTGTTAATAACAAGGTATACTTTATTATAATTATTCTTTATATTCGGGTTGCTTGATAATCAATTACAGATGCATCGCTGTCTGCAAAAGCGATGCATAATGGATTCGTTTTATTGTTATAATATTTTACAACTATTTCGACTCTATCATTTTCACTATGAAATAGAAGCATGTTATTCAATGGAAATAACAACCACTGTTATCAATTAGCGTCATTCTCTGAACATAACCAATTTTATTTTTTTATTAAGATTATTATAATTTATTTGTTTTGTCAAACAATAAATATCAATTTTCACATTAGTTATGTGTGCTTTTTAATAATTTTCTTTAGATTATATGAATACTTTTCTCAGAGTTGGCAGAAAATAGTCTGTCTCGATAAGATTAACTATATTTTATTATAAACAACCACTTTTATTAATTATTATTTGTATTTTTATTATTATTAAAAATTATAAAACTTTCAAACAGGACACAAATTTAATTTAGATATTGAGACACTTTTTTGAAATTAAATACAGAAATTGAATATTTTAAAACTAAAATCTACTATCATAATCAATCTCAATTGATTTTACACATTGACACTTTCACATAGAAATTGATTAATGGATTGAATGTGTGATTTTTTAAACATTCACTGCGTTTTGTGGATTTCTTTAATATACAGATACCCGAAAAATAGTTCGGCACAGAAAAAACGACCAGCAAACCATAAATTAATAGTATATTACAGTTTTTGGGTTTTTGTCCTGTTTTTTTTTCAAATTTTGCATTAAAAAACTATTAAATAGTTTTTAGAAACCATTTTTATAGTTTACTGGTCGTTTTTTCTGTGCCGGTTGGTTTTTCAGGTATCTGTATTTTAAAGCTATTTTTTTGTTAGAAGTTAATTGTTTCTAAATGCTACATAAAAATTTTTTATTATTGAATTGTGTTGTATTTATTAAATAATTAATCAAATGATTAATTTGATAACTTTCAAATTTGCTTTCTTTTATTCTTACTAAATCATCATTTTCATTTTTAAAAACAAACATCAAAGGGTCGCAATTGACCGTTTATGTATCCAAAAATCAATTTTATTAACGGGAATATAAAAAAAATCAACCATTGTTTGATTTTTCAAATATTTTCAATTATTTTTTTTTGTTTTTAATTAATGTTTTTAAAA